AAACCAGAATATTTCTCCCATCCTTCTTCAGTTAGGAGCCAAGTTCTCTGTTGCATGTAAACTGCAAACATTCCTTCATTTCACAATCTAATTCAGATCTCCATTCCTACCTTCCCTCTCTGTAACAAATGAGATTTTCCCTCACATGTTACATGATGTAATTGTTGGTCCCTGCAGTGAAAGATTTTCCTATTAAACCCTTTTTTAAAATGCTAGTGAAACTTATAGCATGTTATTTATCACTGGAATAAGCTGCTCTTTTCCATGGATTTCAATGAAGCTGTGTCCAATAGTTTGGCCTGCTTTTGCTACTTGACCTGTACCACAGCTGGTAATTGGTTTGCCAGTCCATAATAGGACTATATATTTTGTCCTTTGTTCCATGAAAACAGCTATAATCCTACTGAAATCTTGATCTTTTTGTTCCTCTAAAATAATAGCTGCTGTATTGAGGATGTTTGTCTTGGTGCTGTGATTCTACAATAAATGCAAATTGCAAGATCTTCTTAGCTTCCATGAGGAGGATTTAGATAGCTCCCAAGTTTCCAGGTATATTTAACAAATTGCTTATTGTGATATCATTAAGCATGTGCAGTGGAACAGTCAAAACTATCAGCCATATGTGTTGAAGTCTAAAAGCCACAGGGTTTGGTCAAAATTTGGTATGGAGAAGAATTATTTTGTCAGTTTCAGAGCATTTAAATGATTTAACCAGCAGAAGATGAGACTGGGAAATTATATTTCATTTGTTACTTCCATATAATTGTGAGGATATACCTTTGTTGGTTCTTTGTTACATTGTTGAGATCACAGAATCACAGAATGGTTTGGATTGGAAGGGACCTTAGAGATCATCCAGTTCCAATGCCCTTGCTATGGACAGAGACTCCTTGCACCAGACCAGGCTGCTCAAAATCCATCGAGCCTAGAACACTTCCAGGGACAAGGCATCCACAACCTCTCTAGATAACCTTTTCCAGTGTCTCATCAGTCTCACCGTAAAGAATTTCTTCCTAATATCTAATCTAAACCTACCTTTTTTTAGTATGAAGTAATATCCCCTTGTCCTATTACTACTTGCCCTTGTAAAAAGTGCCTCTCCAGCTTATTTGTGAATTTTCCAAATCCAGTTCAGCCACACCATAGCTTCAGTCAGATACATCACTGTTCTGAATGTCTTTGATAGCTTTTACAATGCCTCTAGTTTACCTGAAGATCTTTAGCAGTATTGACCCCAGCCTTACCCTGTGGGGAACACAAATATTAACCAGCTACCAGTTGTACTTGGAATTGCTAACCATTTTCATCAGGTCTCTCAGATATTCCAGTTATGTCCTGAATTTGTAGTCCACCTATTCCATTATATCTCAGAATTCTGGCTGTGAGTATGCTATGGGTCACTTTAAAAAATCAGTGGATGGTTCTGCTGCTTTCACCACATCCAGCAAGACAGATGTCTCATTGTAGCCTGCTCTGAGGTTGCTCTTGTTCAATTTACTTTGGAAGTTCCCAGTCACCCCCTTGTCTGTCATGTGTCGCTATAGGACACGAGAAAGCACAACACGAGCCATTGCGATGGCAAGGTAAAAAAGAAGAAAGTTTATTTTTCTGACTCCAACTTTTATACTTTTCCAAAGGTGACAGTGGATTGGAGAGTGAATGGGCCACCTCTCCAAAGACATTGGACAAATGACCAGTACATCAACTTCCTCCACCCCCACGAAGGAATGCAAAACAATATGTTGTTTATAGAAAATGTGTGGGAAAGTTTTCTAACAGAATGTAAACTCAGAAGGCTTTAGAAAATCTTAAGAATCAGGGCGACAGTCCATGTACCTGGGCATTGCTTTCAAGAAGGATTTGTCCCTTAATTTTATCATGGGCTGACAAGTCTAAAGCTGCCTGAATCCTCCTTGCCTTGCTTGTAGATGGTTTTGATATGCAGTATAGGAAAACCATGGCAAGGTGGCTGCCATCTATTACACTTCAGCTCTGCTGTGTGACTGATGCATGAAAGAAGTGTAGACTGTTCAGATATGATGATGCTAAGACCATGTGTGAATTTGAAGCAGATAAAGTGTTAAAAGCAACCCTAACAGACCGCCAGTCTTTTTAAATTAATCAGTGACCAGCAGCAGAGGTTTTCTCTTCAGTCTTTAAGGCCTCCCTTTTTCAGAATAAAAGATGGCATTAGCTGCAGTCTCTGATTTCAGTGCCTACCTCTGATTAAGATCACAGAATCACAGAATATTTTGATGAATGCTTCGAAGTAAACACATGCCATAAAGCTAAGTGAAATGAGGATGGTTTTAATCAGAGGATTTAAGGGAAGGAAGGGGTAAACATTGGGCCCCAAGTATCCAGTTTAATGCTCCAGTGCATCTCTTTCATGTTTGCCTTACTTTTTAGCTGTCACTGATGCAAACATTCTGCAATAATACTTGGGAATTATTTGCATCCAGTCTGAAGAACGTTTTAGTTCTAGTTTTAAATTAAGGACTCCAGTGGTTTTAGTCCTTGATAAGTAAAGCAGCTGGATTTCACACCAATCACACCAAGGCTCGGTTGCATTTTAGTCACAGCAGTGAAGTGATGCATGAAACTGACTGTACTGTAAAATCTCATTCTTATATGGATGAGGAAATGGACTAGCTCCAGACAGTAAAACAATTCAAAGACAGGAAAAAATGCATATTGAAGCTTTCAGCAGAGAGAGTTGTTAAGAATAAAATGTGCTCTTTTGCTGGGGAGCAATAAACTGTGATCTAGAGTTTAGGATTAAATTAGGTAATGGGAACTGTACTTATGTGTCGGTGTAGTGCTACTAGAGTACAGGATACATTATTCACAGGTACTCTGCATGCTTGCCTAATTTCCACCAAGCACTGCAGTTCTGTAGGCCAGAGTAAAAAGGAGTATAGGTGTTTACCTTCAGATTAATTTTAATGGAGGGTTGTGTATCTCTTAAATTGTTTATTTAGGCTTTTCTTCTCTGTGCTTGAGGTTACTTATTTTCATGTTTTCAGCATCACTAAAACAAGACCTTTCTGCTTATCTGAATATCTCATAGATATTCCCCTGGATTGCTGCAGTGTCAGTGTGGATGATCCAGGCTTTCCCATTTGTGATGAAGGCAGAAAATTTTCAGCCTTCTTCTTCCTTTAGTAGATTTTTCCTTCACATCAGTTGGCTGAAGTGAATAGTAGCCCGCTAGTGCTTTGCTTCGCCAGTTAGCAAAGCTGATGGCAAAGGTCCTGATGAGAGTGTTTAGAGGTGTGAGAAACACCTCCTTGTGGAAAGAATTAGCCTGAAAGCCTGCAGTGAGAAGAGGTGGCTTTGAAGAATGACGGTGGAGAAGAAAATACCATCTGTTAAAACAAAGAAATCAATATGCCCTGGACTTGCTAGTCCTGGCTAAGGACACTCACAGTGTATTTTTCTCTCAGTGCATGAGTATACCACCAGTCCTATTGATTTTGTGCTTATAGCAGGAGGATGATCTATACCTCTTCTGGAGAGATGTTAGCTCTCTAGAGAGAACCACTGAGATTTCGTGGGGGAATGTATCATAATTGCTATAAAATAGCAATTTATCTGCTAAATTCCCATTGACTGAGATAACACCTTGTCAGGAAAGTGAATCTGCTACGATTTTCTATAATAGCACTTCCGATATTTATGTACCCTTGCCTCTTGCATATCAGCCTTGTGAATAACTCCAGGTTAGAATGTAAAGGTGCATGATGTTTACAAATCAACAGGTTTTTCCACAATTAACTTAGTGATGTTGATAGAGCCTGAGTCACAGAAAGTATGAAGTGTCTTTGTTGTAAATTTTCACATATTTGTATTAAAGCACAAGTGTTCTCAGAACCAGAGGTCATGTTGACCTGTTAAACATGCCCTGAAAATCTGTTATGTTCACAACCTGTTACCTCACTTCTCATTTGAGCCATCTCTCTTTTCCTTTGATACCTCTGTTAGCAAATACTGTTTGGAGTCGAACTCAACACAAGTTCACATGCCTCCCACTCCTGAATGAATCACTAAGCTTTGAATACTTAGTTGGTGGACAGAAATCTAAGGAAAGAAGAAGACAGAAAAGGAAGGAAAAAGAAATCTATTTCTATTGAAATAGAACTCATTACTGTGTCACAATTGTGGGAAATATATTTATAAAAGTGTCTTTTGGTTTTGTTTTAGCTTTACAAGCTAAAGCTATAAACAGCATTTAAATCCACATTTGATAGTCTATAAGTTATTTTTACGGCTGGCTTTACCACTTGTTTATATGACATATCTCACATACTAGGCATTTAAACATCAACCACTACTGGCATTGAATGGGTCTATTAATTTTAATTGTATTTTTTGTATGCCTAGTATAGTAACATTTACTATATGAAATTAATACTGCTTAGATTGGTTTCTCCATCTAAAAGTGAATTATCTAAATTCTATTCATAAGACAGGCAACTTAAGAAACAAAGTCAGGCAGGCTGTCCTAAATACTCTTGCCATAGAAGGGATGAATCACTCCCCAGAATATTTCTCTACTGACCACAGGAAGGGCCTTGTTTTTCCTCATAATAAAAAAATAGATCTTAGCATCTAAGTAAGCCAGGTATAAACAGAGGAGCGAAGAGAGTGGCAGAGCTGGAATCTCTTGCCCAAGGATCCAACGATGACTGACAAAGCAAATAAAATTATCATTCTTCAGCTTTCAGGACAGTATTTTACTGCAAACCTTCCTTTCACCTACATAGTCAGTGTGATCTGTGCTGTGGCACTCAGTAGGAGAAGGATGACAGCCTGGATGGCCACCTGTAATGATTTAAATTTGGTGGGTTTATGTTTATCTGTTCAGAAATCACTCCTATAGTTCACATATTTTTCAACCAGCACCCCATCACTCTGTGTTATTGACTGCCTGGGGAGCAGTATAAACCAGAGGAATGTCCCACACTAACCTCACTAATGAAACTTCTTTTGCATTGCAGTTGACCTGGACAGGTTGAATGATGATGTGAAGCGTTACAGCTGCACTCCGAGGAACTACTCTGTCAATTTAAGGGAGGAGCTGAAGCTGACAAATGTCGTTTTCTTCCCCCGCTGCCTCCTTGTCCAGCGCTGTGGCGGAAATTGTGGCTGTGGGACGCCAAACTGGAAATCCTGCACCTGCGTGTCAGGGAAAACAGTGAAAAAGTATCATGAGGTATTTTCATTCTTCCTTTATTACTTATTTTTGGGTATTTATTGCTTCCATGGATTCTGAAGTCTTTTTTCAGAGCTGTGTGTGCTGCATGTTAATAGACTATATATGTGAAAGGGGTGTTGGCAATATTTATGTGTAAGTTAATTTAGAAGAAGTTGGAGAGAACTTTTGCCACCTCTGAGTGGATGCCACCACAGCATCCTAGTGAACTTTGTTTCAAGAATGAGCCTTATGTTGGACTGATTTTTCCCAGTCAAGGACTAATACAAAGTAAATGTATACACCACTGGAAATACTCTTTTTAGTAACGCCGGTACTTGGGTTCCTTCAGATATTTGACTTCATTTCCTCTTGATTTAAACTTACACTCACACTTGGAAATTCCAATTATGTCACTTGTGAATTCTCTTGCCTTCCAGATTTCTTACTTATAGAAGGCAGCTAAATCACTCAGCCTTAGCTTTTTTCCCCTACTCAGCAATTTTTCAGGAAAGCAAAATTTTTGCATAGGAGCAATGCCCATTATTTTAATCCATTCAGATGCATCTAGAGAGGAAAAACACAATGAAAGAGCATTTTGTATTCTTGCCACTAACGCAGTATTTTCCGATCAAGTCATGAGCAATGTTCCTTAAAGTGAGCATACCTCGGAAAGTGACTTGGTAGTTCCCTTCCACTTGTTGGAAGGTAGGGTTGCTGCATGCCATGCTGACTTATTTCTGACACATATCTCTTGTAAGAGTCTGATTTACCACTTGGTTTAAGGCCCAAGTGAAAATGAACTTTAGGAACTTTAAACCTGGATGCGATGTAGGCTCATAACATTAAGGCATTATCTTGAGAGACCCTGGGGCCACAATAGCAGAGGGTTGTTGAAGGCCAGAGCAGTGTGGTTACTCTTTTCAAAAGTAAGAGAGATTTTCTCACACAAAACTGCAGAATACAGCATACTCCACATGCCAGGACTGGAGAATAGTTAATATTTTCTCTAATTTTAAACAAGATGCAGGGGATGACCCTAGTAATTACAGAGCAGAAAGCCTTAGCTCAGTGGTAGAAAAGTTAATTGGAAAAAAATTAATCGTATAAAGCACCTAGATGACTATGAGCTGATAAAATTAACTCGGAATGCCTTATATGTGAATAAATATTTATACAGCACCACAATGTTGTACAAAAATGCTAAAAGGACTGGCACCTCCTGCAGAGAGCAAACAGTCAGCCAGACAAGATCAGACATGGATTAGAAGCTGGTTAAGAGATAAAGAGCAACGAGGTGGAAGAGACAAGCAATTTTCTAAATGGGAAAGGGCCATCTGAGGGTGCCCCCAGTACAAAGATTGTTATTTCATGTGTGTTCAGTCTGGAGGGAGGTGAAAGAGAGGTGGCAAAAATGACAGGTGGCACAGGAGATAACATACTTGAACAGCAGAGAAGGCTGTGAGGAATTTCAGAAGGTCTTTGTAAGTGCTTATAAATGCAGGTTAGAAAAGCAGCAAGCATTAAGGATGAGTGGTCTCAACTATTTATTCATATAACACCGGGTGTGTGAGGGGAGGAGGAAGAAACGAGGGGTGGAAATTGGGCTAAAAGTCAAGCAGTGACTCACTGTGAAGAGCTTCAGGAAAACACTTGCTTAGTGCAGTGATAAGAAAAAGACAAGCGATGGTCTTCTGCAGGAATGGAGATGAAGGGGTAATAACACAGCAAATACTGTGGTCTGGATAAATTGGTGGGGGACTTATACTAGGTTTTGACCACTAGTGCTTAAAAGGACAAGGCAGGACTAGAAAAAATAAATAGAAGCAGCAAGCATACATCATGAGAGATGTAGGGGAAGGTACAGATCAAAACATTTTTAAGGAAAGTGGCTCAAAAGTTTTGGATCATTTCATTGAGGAAAAAAAAAATCTAAAGAGAGGACATGGTAAAAGATGGGATATAAGGAATAGTTGCTAAAGGAAAATTAGACCTTCCTAAGTAATCTTTTCCTTAAGAAAAGGACAAGAGAGATTGGAAGGGAACTAATTTAAAATTATAAAAAGGATTTTTTTTTTTTTTACAGATTTACCATACAGTAAATCTGTATGGAATTTCAACAACTAAATATGAGTTGTGCATAATTCAGAAGATTTCTGAAAAAAAATAGAAGTCAAATATAAACCAAGGAATCTTGGGTTCCACCTGTATCAGAAATTAAGTCAGCTGTTGACAGTAGCTAGAAAGAAAAATGCTGATTATAGATATATTGTCAAGCACTTAATTTTTTCAGGTGTTTTGAAACAGCTAGTGCTGGAACAGCAGAATAACACAGTAGCCAGGTATTGCTCAGCATCAGAATGTCATGACTTATTACTGCCCCAAATTAATCACTAAATTCAGGAAATTCAATATTCACACAAATATATTATCACTGCTAATTTATTTTCCTACTAATTTCTACTCTGAAAACCATATTAATTCAAGACAGTGTTTCATCTTTAACATTAAATGGCCTTTGTAAGTTTAAATTTAAATTTTATCCCTTAGGGATGAATTAACATCTCACTGAGCAGATATTTAGCGAAGTGTCTCCCATTAACATGAGTGGAAGTCATGCAGATAAATTCATGTATGACATACTAAAGATTTGTCCATTAATTTTAGTCCAAAATGTTTTCAACTTTATTATTATTATTAGCCACACACAGTTAATCAGTTTTATTCTTACTCTCCTTTGACACTTTAATTTTACTAAAATACCAGGTAGAAAAAGCACTGAGGCCTCTCCACATGTCAGTTTTAGAACCATCAAGCCAGTTTACTCTCTTAAAAGCCAATTTGAAACCCACTAACCTTATCCAAAGAGTCTTTAGTTGCATAACGAAGAATGGAGCTTTACACTTTATGAATCCCCAGCACCATTAATTTGGTTAAAAAGCTCGGCCTTCTACTGCAGGAGGACATAGGCCAGATTCAAACACAAATCTCAGTTAATTTGAGTTACAGAAGACACCAGAAGGAAATATTAGGTCGTGGAGCAAAGAAAGTGTTTGAAGTAGCTGAAACTGAGTCCTTTTCCCCCAAATTCTATCCTGGAACTTCATCTACTGAGCTCCTGAGCCTGCAAGAGCTTTGTGTCCTGCACATGGATATGCTTGTCCTCAAAAGTAAAAATATCTCTGGAGATTACTTAAAAGTTCCCTGACATTTCTGAGCTACCTAGTATTTCTTGTGTGAGAAAGGCAGACAAATTTTCCAGAAGCAACAGGCTCCTTTTTGGCTTTGTGGCGAGTGCTGGAGTAGGTGCATGTTGGCAGTTGTGGGGACCTTAAAATCCAGGGTGTTTCTTGAAAGATAAGCTTCTAGTCCAGAGAGATTTCAAGGTTATCTTCCTTATGGTCTTAATGCCTTTAAGTTCCCTCTCAGTTTCTTGTTCAAAGCCTCCCACTGTAATCACCAAGCACTCTCTCCTAGCCTAGCCTCTCAGGACTAATAGTTGTCATGTGGAGCCTTTAATTTTCCCAAGCTGAGAGTGCTGCTCCAGTCCCTGAACGGAATGTACAGATCTTTTCTATCATGCTTGACTATAGGAAGTGTTGCAAAGGCAGGGAAAATGAGAACATGAGATGGCCACAATAAGGGGTAGCTTTTTCTTTATTGCCCTGGGAGATGTTAATCATGAGATCTTTGGTCTTCTTTATAGCCTGGAAGTTTGCCATGACTTTACCAAAATACTCAGCAGTTTTCAGAAATGGATGGGGTCATAACTTGGGTAAACAGATAGTTTTATTGGTGGGTTTTTTTTTTTTTGGTTTTTTTTCCTTGCAGGAGTCTTGTGATGCTCTGTGGTTTTCCATGGCTTCTGGGTTTGCTTTGGAGCAGAGCAAATACTCTGGACAAATACTCATGACTTACCACATAGTGTCATGAACCCTTCAAACCAAGCAGGCTAAGTTCTGACAGTGTCTGAAAACGTCTCTGAGGCGTAGTCTGCCATAAGTGATACTGAGTTATGTTGCAATGCCCCGTGCAAGGGAAAGACAAAGCAATACATAGAAATGGATGCAGCACACCTTAATTAAAGCTCAGCCCTATGGCTATCAGACCTGATATAAAAGTGTGTTTCCCATTGCAGTTAATTTCCTTAAAAATGCCTGGAGCATCACTTTAAAGAGTTACAGGCTCTAAACTTGGAGATTACTCAGCACGGAGAAGGTGTGGGAGAACTCAGGCCAGGACTTAGTTCAGCTGTGGCTGTGGCTGTGCAATCCAGCCAGCATGCACATACCCCAGAGAAATGAGAAATCAGTTTCCCCATCTCATTGCTGTAACTGATGAGATGTGAAACAAGTTTCCATGGGGAATAAGTGCTCTTAAGGTAGCAACCAGAATTTGTCAGAATGTATTAAACTCTGCAAACACGGTGCTGAGCTGCACAGCTAAGGGACATATAAGGAAAAAAGAAAACCTGATTGCAACTTTTACCTACTTATTTGTCTCTCCTGTAAAGCCTGATGTGTTGTCCACTGTCTATAAGGTGCTTCTTCCTCCATCCTACCCCTTTTTGAAGCATTATGCCTCCATTCAAGTTGACTGCAGCTTGTCTAGTGCCTTCACTGGACATACATTCAGTTAATTCTCAGAAAGAAAGTTTTGATTAGTGTTAGGTTGGCAATTTCATAACCATTGGTTGCGTTGAGAGAGGCAGTAGGTACCCCAGAGCACATGATGCTGTCTCTTGGCACAAGTTGCTGGGGCATAAAAAACAGCTTCAACTGAACCCAACATTTCAAAGGGAAAGCAAGACAGAGGGAATATTATATGGGAGAAAAGAACATGGGAGCACAATAGAGAATTAAAAAGTGCATCTTCAGTAAGACAAAGTTACTGCAATGGAGTTAAGAAATGTAACTAATACAATTTGATGCTGTCAGGGTTTTTTTTCTTCTTTTATTTTTCAGAGAAATGAGAAGCAAACCTTAAGGAGGCACTTGAGAGAGAAGACAATAATTCTCAGC